GGCATGGACGGCATGGACGGCATGGACGGCATGGACGGCATGGACGGCATGGACGGCATGGACGGCGTGGACGGCATGGACGGCATGGACGGCATGGACGGCATGGACGGCATGGACGGCATGGACGGCGCCGACTGGCATGCTTGTAGCGTGCAGGTCTATCAGTTAAGCGACCAACTTGAGTTCTAAGCTCTAAGCTGCAATGGTAAAATAAAGCGATCTCGTAGATATTCAACTTGGTACTATCTCCAATAAACGGCTATTTTGAGGAAACCTTCATTTACTGTAGATGGGTTAATTACAAGTACTATGGTTGGGGTTGATTGCAAGAACAAATAAATTAGATATTATTAGGGCAATTGATGCCACAACAGTACAGGTACAAGTTCATTTCGATGTGTATTGTATAGCTACCTACAAATTAAGAACACATACACTCCATTATTTGGTTGTGCGTTGATTGCCTGCACACATCATCATGTGTGAACACAGCGCCTATTTTTTCACATAAAATACTCAGAGAAATGTACGAGTTTTTGTTTCAATAGTTGTACACTTTGGGCCGCTGTGTAAATCAACCTGACACAGATTATGTCCCATCAGTGCTACGTGTGTCCCGCCCGTGGAGCAGGTAGAAGTGTGTCATTATTTGGACAAGCTGACCTATTAATTAACTGAGTGTAGTACATTTCTCAGCAGCTTATCTATTTAGTGTTAGTGAAATATTCTGTCACTTCAACGTACATATTGTACACGCATTTTATACATGCAAAACATTTATACTTACAATGTATGGTACAAACTGAATAACAGAATTCAACATTCATTTATGCGGGTGACAACTCAACAGCACGGCAACAATATACCCACTTTTCTGCTTCAAGTGGGTCATGAGGAAGGAGTGTGCAGAGGATTAGGTGGGGAATTAACTCTCCCCATGGCTCTTAACCCCTTAAAAATATTAGCTTAAGAGAAGGAGGTTGAAACTGAACCCTCCCTCCTCTCCTCACATCCCTGAAGAAGAGGGAAAGAAGGCGCGAGTTGGGAGTTAAAGTTCCTCTTTGTCTGGGGACGTCGCGATACTCAAGCGAGGATGAAACATTCGGCAGTAGGCCGGGTAATTGGTGGCCCAGCACGCGGTGAGGTTCATTTAGCTGGGCCCCACAGGGCATGTAAACAGGGGGTGCGAGATATCCTGGGCCTGTCTCTTATACACATCTAGATGTGTATAAGAGACAGACACTGTTCCTTTAACACGGCGCTGTTCCGTTAACACGGCGCTGTTCCGTTAACACGGCGCTGTTCCGTTAACACGGCGCTGTTCCGTTAACACGGCGCTGTTCCGTTAACACGGTGCTGTTCCGTTAACACGGTGCTGTTCCGTTAACACGGTGCTGTTCCGTTAACACGG